ATGAAGGTTCTCAATTTGAATATGTTCGCTTATGCTGATAATTCTCTACTGGATGCGCACATTTATCTCTCCACTCGTATGGAAAGCAGTTTTTATTCTTGGTGACTATTGCTTACTGTTATCAGTGTTGTAGATACCGTCTAACTGACTTGGATATTGATATGTTGTGCTTTGTCATTTTTTTAACTTGTTTAATTAATAAAGAGTTAAAAAAAAAAAGATTAGAAAGAGTGAAATATGTGAGCAGGCACCTTATGTTAATGTACAATACCTGCTTTGTAAAAGCAAAATGCAAAACCATTTCAAAGAACTTTATAAGTAATGTGTTCTGTTAAAAATAACTGCACTTTGGAAATGTCACTTGATATAAATGCATTTATGGTAGATATTAAAAAGGTTAGAGTGTAACATAAAAAAGCCCAGCCAATCAAGATGTCAACCAATGCCTGATGATGTCATATAGAAGTGCTTAACTATGCCCTGTAGATGGGCACAGCACTTCAAGTGTATGTAAACTCTAACAGGGTTACTCACAAAAAGGTGAAGAGATTGGAGAAGTCAGAATAAGTGAACAATCTAGGACAACATAGCTGAACTGGAAAGTAAGCTAAATTGGAGAATTTTTCCAGATCAGCTCTTTTGGCCTAGATTGTTCACTCCTCCTGCCTTCTCCAAACTCTTCACCCTTTTGTGAATAACCCTGTAATTCTTTTTTTCAGTATGTTTGGCATCATGCCTCACTGTATACAGTTTTCATAAGCAAATCAATTTTTGTGAAGTTTCTACAAAGTGTCTTGTCTGGGGATACTGCTAGTAATAATATATCCTGTTGTTGGGTAACAATGCCAAGCCACTGCCTCACAATTAGCAGCAGCATTGTTAGCCTACTGGCCAAGCTTCTTCAGTTGAGTTTTGCAATCAGATCTGCACATCTGACAGACCTGATAGGCAGCCCATGACCAATTAAAGGGGCCCCCACAGCTGGCTGAGAAAACTGCTGCTAGTTATGATGCAATGGCTTACGGTTGTCAGTCTGCCAAAGAAAGTGCTGTCACTGGCAGGATCTCTAAGTAAGGAACTTTGAAATTAAGAGCAGAGTGACCCAAAAGAAAACCAGAAAATACATAAGAACAATTTAGAGCCAAGGAAACCAAGTGAGAACTGACAGCACAATCAATAACGTAACCCATCCTGAAGCAACGTGCCATGGTCTGACTATGTCCCAGATGGACTACTGTGATTTAGATGACTGAGGACCATTCAGTTGAATGCCATTCTCGAAAAAGCCCACCTACTGTAAATAGTGCCTAACATAAGATACGTTTTAACTCCAGAGAATCTATGTTTGCTGCCCATGAAAAAAAGAGCACATGATTTATTTGTGTTTTCAGTACATTTTCTTCTTTGTCTGTAGAAACATTTTTATATTCTACAAGTTTTGGCTAATACCAATTTGAATATAATGTATTACAGGAAACCAAGTTGGTTATGTGTTTAGATGAAGCACTGAGATCTTGAGAAATGCAGAAAGTTTTACAGCATTGTGAAGGAAACATATATATAGGAAAACTTCCTGTGAATCATAGATAAGCATGCATATATAGACTAACATCGCACTACAGCGCCATCTACAGCTCAAAAGACATAATAGTATATGCTGTTGCATTTCCAACATATTTCAGTATATATTATTCGCCAAAGTTACACTTATGCTATGTTTCTGTTCCATCAATACACTACTTATGGCTTTTCTTTTCAGCAGGGTTGCTGAGGGCTTTCTCTAATACCTAGAATCTATTAATATATATTCGAAATATAATTATATCATTATAGAAATTTAGAACAGAAAGTCCAATCAAAATATAATTTCAGGTAACTTTTATAATAATTTATTAAAAATGAATACTTAAACACTTTATATTTTCACTGTGTCATGTAGCGACAAAAATAATATGGGGGAAAAAACAGCCTCCCAAGTCTACTGGTCACTAGCCTTTGTGCTGAAATGTACTGAATGTCCACCTTGCTAGGCTATATCTGTTATTCTAAGGTAGAAATCAGATGGCAGTGTTACATTACTCATCTATTAGACATATGTGTGTAAGAGAGAAGAGGTCTGGAATGTGAAAGGTAAGAGTGACGTGCATTATTACCCGGCAATGATCATATTATAAATACAGTAATGTGCCCTTTGTGCTATGGCCACACCTGTGAATTAGCTGGTTCTTTCCGGTTGTGAGAAACCAGAATAGTCTCTTCTGTCATGTTTTCTGTATATTTTATGTAACTGACTCCACAAGAGGGGTGTTTTTTTTCCTACCGACAAATCTGGGTGTCCCATTAAAGAAACAAGAATTCTTCTTTTTTTTATTTAGATAAAGCATGTGAAAGGTTGTAAAGAAGTTGCAGGATGCGCATAAACACCTAGCAGCATTAAGATGTAAACATCCTTCCCTGCCTCCACCCCAAATTCCCCAAGATTAGGGATGGACCGAGTGTTCGAATCGAACATAGAGCGTTTGCCTTTATGGGATGTTCGCGGTTTGTTCGACCGCGGACGTTCCATAAGGCAAAATGCCCTCCGAAGCTCTGATTGGTTAAAGTCTTGCACCTGACCACAGGTCAGGTGCAAGAATTTGCCCAGTCATGGCTATCAAAATGTCATTATGCGGCGGGAGTCAGCGGGGAGCGGACGGGACGGCGGTCGGCGGGTTTAAAAAAAAATTATTTCTCTTTATTGCTTTATTTTTTTTTTCGTCGTCGTCGTGGACAACGCTGGATGCCCTGATTGACCATGGATTACGTCGGTGGATCAATTTTTTTGTGTTTTAAAAAAAATAAAAGACTTGTCAAAAACATGTCTTTTGTTTTTTTTCCAAATAAAGGATTTTATCAAAAGTATAGACTTTATAATAACTATTTTATTTAACCCTTTAGTGAATGGGTAGGGGTACAAGTAACCAGTACTCATTCAGAAGGGAGGGGGGCGGCATCTGGGTGCCCTCTTAATTAAAGGGCTACCACAATGCAAATAAGCCCCCTTGCCCGCAGACCCCCACAACCACCGGGTCAGGGTTGTGGGGACAAGACCCTTGTCCCCATCGGCACGGGGACACCCTCCCAGTGCCGAGGGCATGTGGCCTGGTGTGGGAGGAAGGGGGGGGCGCTCGCTCGTCCCCCCTTTCCGGCCCTGCCAGGCCTATGCTCGGATCAAGGGTCTGGTATGGAATTTTAGGGGGGACCCCATGTTTTTTCCCTCCCATTTTTGGGGGTGGGGTTCCTCCTTAATATTCCTACCAGATCTTAAGGGCCTGGTATGACTTTTAGGGGAAACCCTACACAGTTTTTTTTTTTAATTGGTCCCTCCTAACCTAAAGGGTCTGGTATTGTTAAATGTCATTCAAAAAAAAAAAAGGTCAGTTTTGTTGCAGCAGGTTCTATACATCGTACAGATCCGCCACTTCACAGGCAGTTTAAGGGGACACCCCAGGCACGATATTTGAAGGAATTTTTCAGTTTTTTTTCTTACCCTTTAAGTCAGTGGTTCTCAACCTGTGTAACCTCAGGACCCACATTTGTCCTTGGCCATTAAGTGGTGACCCAAGTCAACTTGCAATGGAACGCACGGTATTGCGGTACCGTGTTTTCCAATGCGTGCAATTGAACTGTGGGTGGGAGGTGTGTTTGGGGTGCCATTACAAGAACTGGAATGGATCCTCAGCTGGGGGTCCAGTGCTGGGCTGCTGTGCTGTGATGCAGCTCCATCCATACATGCATAGCTTGTACAACTCCCTTGCGAGCCCTGTAGAGGTGCCGGGAGCCAGAATGTGACGTCACTCCTATCCAGGCAGCTCTACAGGACACGTAACCAATGCATGTATGGATGGATGGAGCTCCCTCACGGTCATAGCTCCAGCCCACCCCACCTGAAGCTGACACTCGACGCCGGGCAGCATATTCTGAATGGCTGCTCTGCGTGAGAACTGACAGTGCTGTGCTAGGGGGAGGCTCAGAGACTCTCACCTAGAAAAGTGGAAGGCACATGGCAACCCACTGAACACGGGGTCGCGACCCACTTTTGGGTCACGACCCAGCAGTTGAGAACCAAGGCTTTAAGTCATGTTAAAATCACTGCTCCTTTAAAAATGTTTTTTTGTTGTTGTTGTTGTTGTTGTTTTGTCATTGTTTCCTGTCCCCCAGGGCAGTACCCGGACCCCCATACACCTTTTATGGTCAATAACTTGCATATAAGCCCTCTTAAAGGGGACATTATTTTACGAATGTTCGACTCCCATTGACTTGCATTGAGTTTGAGTTTGTATTCAAACTTTTCAGCCGTTCGGGAGTTCAAATACGAACCGAACACGTGGGTGTTCGGCTCATCACTACCCAAGATACGCAACATCTTGCTTCCTAAAGGACACTCTGTGTCCTACTTGCTACAGCCCTACATTTTTAATAGAGTACTACATTTAAATCTAATAAAGCATATGCTTTTATTGAATTTTCAATGCACATATTTAAATATCATTAATTAAAAGCCCAAATACAATGAATACATGCAAGAAGGTGATTATAAGTAGGATTTAAAAAGGAATTTATTGTGAAATTATTCAATGTTAAAACAGCAACATTTAAAGGGACAAGTTTGTAGATGCTGGGAATGCCCCTGAATCAGACACAGTTGACAACTTCACGTCAATCATTATCAAACCCCTTTTAATTCAGAGTACCAGATTAGATACTGTATTATTATTTGTATGAGCTAGGAATAATATAAGAGGCATTTTATTTACGGCTTAGTGATGCTTTACATTGGGTGCAGTAAAAAGTAGAGTACGTCATTTTTATTGCACAGTGTATGCTCCATGTTGGAGAAATTCTCTGGCCACTGATCCCAGAGTACAAGCTGTTTCAGACACACAGGGAAATTGTAATTATTTTTTGCTCATTATCTACAGTTAATGATTGATGCATGAGTGATGAGATGAAGAGGTGTGCAGGATACAAAGGTCCACAAAGTGTATTGTTATTACCTAGCCTGGTGTAGGACAAGAAACAGCTTTCCCCAGACGCCGGGTATGTGTTCATGAAATTTGCTTTAATCCTATATTCTTAGGATTGTGTTTTACATTTAATCTCAAAAAGTTACAATATGGGTTTTTTTTATAGAAAAAGAAGTATATGGTATTTTGTGTAGTTTTAGGCGGTGGCTGTTTTACAGCCTAGGCTTTGCTTCTGGCGGCGAGTCCTTGTGTGGGTTGTAGAGCTGTTACCCTTAGTTCTATTCATTTCCATACTTACTGTTGGTTAATACAGCTATAAATGTACCTATTTACAGTGTTCAACCTGTGTCCCAAGGGCCGCATGCAGTTATTGTGTGGACCTTGGGGCCCTGAAGACAGTAGTGTTTTGGTGCTTACCCAAGCCAGTGAAGGCAAAATGTTTTTTAGACTGGGTGTTCTTTTTTTTCCTTGGTTTTTATTATGATGGAACTTGCTGAGAGAAATATCAAATGCGGCACAAGTAATTTTTAAGGGGGCGGAAGGGAGCCCAAATGTGGAAGCAAGAGTCTTTAATAGCAGTAATCTCTAGTAGTCTATTGCAACACTTCTTCAGACTCTGAATCTCTTATGAAGCATGTCCCCAGTCTTCAACAAATCCTATCTTATGTTTGCAGTTTATATCAATCACCTGTAGCATATTTGCAGTCTCTGACCATCTCTTGGGGCATATCTGCAGTCTCTGACCAACTCTTGTGGCATGCCAGTCTCTGATAGCTTTATGTAGCATTACATTCACTAATTATTATCTGTGGCCCTTTGGTGACATCACGGGCCACATTTGAGGCCTCCTATATCAAGTAAGTTGAAAACCACTGCTATAGACCATTTCCATAATGATCATCTCCTGAAAAAAGCTTAGAATCTAATGTCCTTACCATAGTCACCCAAACATACAGTAATGTATGTTTGGCCAAGCTAATAAGAGTTAAAATACCAGTTTGATTTTGGGCTGCAGGAAGAAACTCTAACAGATGGAAGAAACTTTCTATCTATCTATCTATCTATCTATCTATCTATCTATCTATCTATCTATCTATCTATCTATCTATCTATCTATCTATCTATCTATCTATCTATCTAGCCCCAGTTCCAAACATGTTGGGTTGCTATGTAAAATCTACATAGAAAACAGAATGCAATGGGCCTTAGTTCCCAGACGTTTACAGAATTTTGTTAAAAGAAGAGGGGATGCTACACTGTGCTAAGCATGGCCCTGTACCAACCTCTTGGAGACGTGTTGCTGCCATCAATTTCAAAATGACCTAATTTTTTTCTTAAAATTGTACATTTTCTCAGTTTATACATTTGATATGTTTTCTATTTTCTATTGTGAATAAAATAAGGGTTTATGAGATTTTAAATCATTGCATTCTGTTTTTATGTAGATTGTACACAGTGTCCCACCTTTTTTGAATTGGGGTTCTATCTATCTATCTATCTATCTATCTATCTATCTATCTATCTATCTATCTATCTATCTATCTATCTATCTCAGCTAGCATAACTTTACCAAATGAGACTCCCTGTTAAAGCCCTATTCCAGCCAAAATAGTATTCTTAGTTTTGGATAGTGGTAAAAAGGTCGAACCTGAGCTAGGTTTTTTTTTTTACTGTTCAATAGTTTTTATTAAAGGTTTACAGAGGTTTAGAAATATAAAGTTTGATTGCCAGAATTCAGTAGATCAATAACATAAAATATACAAGGATTGAACACAGACTGTACAAATAGCAACGGATATAGCATCTGGGGGAAAGGAAAGAACATGAGCAAAGAACGTTTTCTCACGTATAAATAAAGGTTCCAAAGAAATGTCGAAGCATGAAATCCTGAGACATTAAGATAGGTAAAGAGGAAAAGAGTAAAAGATAAAGAAGAAGAAAGAGAGAAAAAAAGGTAGGGTGGGGGGGTGGAGAAATAAGAGAAAGTACCCTGGGAAACTCAGCCGAAAGCCACTCACAGTTGTGGGTTTATGATCGAATTAGAGGGATTATAAACAACGACCAAAATGGGGAGGTAGGCATCGTAAAATCCATGGATTCCAAATTTTTCATAGAGCCAGAGAGTTTAGCTGAAAGTTTTTTGTTTGACAGAGTCGAATGGACTTGAGATCCTGAGCTAGGTTTTTGCAGTTTGTGTCCCCAGGAAGGGAAGATTTTACACCACTTCTTCTGTAGTGACCAGGATGGGAATCCAACAGGATATTCTCATCTGATACGGAGCAATCAATACACTTTTATTATAGAGTAAAATTTGGTATACACAGTTCTGTTTTGTTCATTCAACCTATGGGCTGAACAAAAAAAAAATATATATATTCCACCATCCATGCTAAACAGTGTGAATGGACGAATCCCCCACTAGCACCAGCCACTGTCAGAATACCCAAAGGGTGCTTGCAGCTGATTGGCCAAAGGTTTTCCAACGTGTTCCTTCAGCAAAAGTCGATCAAAGTGTGGAATCGTGTCACCAACACAGCAAATTTCATCCGATTTAGCAGTAAGTTCTCTTGTGTACCCTACTTAAGGAGTGAATTGAACCTTTAAGCATTATTTGATGTCTGTGTCCCCAGTGAGCGGATTCTCCCCAGTTTATCTTTGGTCACCGGGACAGGAAGTGCGCAGAAATTCCCCTCATTATAAAACAGCAATGTAAAACCGAGATTCTAACCCTTCTTTGCTGTTAGGATGTTGTTTAGGTTCCATCACAGTGACTAAAAATAAAAAATCATTGGTAGATATTTTTTATGCAGAACCTGATTTCTGACTTAATGAAAATTAAGTGAATGCACCCTTTACTTACAACGTACATAGGAGAAAAACACACAATTATGTACATATACTGCATACATCTGCAGGAGCACAATGTATAGTAAAATGAAGTTCTATATTCAATGTATATAATATATGATCTTGCAGATAGAAAAAGTAAGAAGCTACCCTGTTTTCTTGCAATGCTTTGCTTAAGATCAATGTTGTGATCTATATAGTGAGGATAGGAGCTGAATTGCATATTTCTGCCATGCAGCCATTGAGCTTGAGGGACCTTTGCCTTTTTGTTGCCAGATACATTTTTTGCACAAATTTTAAAATGCATATTTAACGTCTGAAAATTACTTAAACCCCCCTCAAAAAAACATATTTTCTGGAAGCAGAAAAGTATAAAATGATTGCAGTTGCAGTGGCACAACATTCATTTTGTTTGTCAAACCCATATTTTCAGGAAACAATACACTTTTTAGATATTTTTAAGTGCAAACAAACACAATATAATATCCCCATTTTTGGAAAATATAAAAGATGAGGTTGTATCAAGTAAAATAGATTCCAAATATGTTAAGCCTTCAAATTGCAAACACTTGTCCATAAATTATGTTTTCAAAGCCTTTACAGCTCATCAATTTGGAGTTAACAGTGAATGATGGCCCTAGAAGTATAGCTCTCACTCCAGCATGTTCACCAAATATATGTAGAGCACTTGCCATTTTCATAAGCAGGCACACCCAACACACACACTGTTTTATAGAGGTGTCCGTGTATATTGTGTGGAGGTTAAGTACACATAGGGGATAACATCTGATTTAAAAATATAGAGTAAACCATATACAGGTGAAACTCGAATAATTAGAATATCGTGCAAAGTTCATTTATTTCACTAATGCAACTTAAAAGGTGAAACTAATATATGAGATAGACTCATTACATGCAAAGCAAGATAATTCAAGCCGTGATTTGTCATAATTGTGATGATTATGGCTTACAGCTCATGAAAACCCCAAGAACCCCAAATCCACAACCTCAAAAAAGTAGATTATTACATGCAATCAATAAAACAAGGATTGTACATAGAACAATATCGGACCTCTGAAAAGTACAAGCATGCATATGTACTCAGTACTTGGTTTGGGCCCCTTTTGCAGCACTTACTGCAATTACTTTTGCACGATATTCTAATTATTCGAGTTTCACCTGTATGTATATGAGATAGGCTCATTGCTTTTAAAAAACTTTTTTGTATCAATGATCTTTTATGATGAATGTAAATCAAATTGATAGTTTTAGATCAATGGATAGTTGCAAACTTTGTATATGATGACACCTCAAAAATTGCATTTCTATATATATCTTCTTTCATTATGTCGTATAAAGTTTATGGAATGCAGTGCCAGAAATCACTGAATTGGTGATGATATAGAATAACTTTCAGTGTGTTCCCACTGACACACCATACCTAAAAAATATATATTTTTAAAATACAGATGTCTCTGTAGAGTAGACCTTTGAGCAGACTGCAAGTTTCTCTCTACAGTTTTAAAAGTGACAGGAAACACTGGCTGTCCCAATAGAAAGACTAGGGACACTCTGAGCTTCCACTCATTGCCATACAATGCTTCTAGCTCTTTAACCCTTTGTTAGGACAGACAGTGTTTGGATCTAGTTTACAACTGATAATGAGATCTGCTGTAAAATACTCATTGCAACCATTTAGATTCACTTTACTAAAGTCAGTCTGATAGAAGACAGAATGTGGGTGCTCCACTTTGCTCCTTGCACTCTTCTGTTGAATATGCCAATACTGTATAAAATTATGATGTTATTAAGCGTGGCAGTGCCTACCTTATCTTTTACACAAAGAATGCTAATTATGACCCTGCAGAAATCTTTTTTTTCTGGTATTGTGTTGTATATGGTAGGAATATAATATCAATATAATTGGAGTACAGATCCAAAGTAATCATATTGTTTATATTATATAGCTGCCCCATATTGATGACACATATACAGTATCTATCACATAGTACATTTTATGCAGTTATGTAAATGTGCATCTTTGAAACACAATATCTAATAATAATATTTACTTGCATATTTTATGTAAAAAATATTGTATACATACCTGGGAACTTTTAGAAATTGTAATTCCTGGGGCGGTAGGTAGGGCTATGGTGGGTGTTTCCAAAGTGTGCTTTAAAAAAAGCAGGAGAGGCTTAACAGTAGGTCCAGAGTCTAAAGAAT